CGTTTCTTAGCCGTGACTTTCGAAATTAAATGTGGTCGGCGAGGTAAGCCAAAGATGGTGCATGTTAACAGGCTTTGGCGTTATCACGGTCCAGGACATTTCAGTTGAAACAAAGTGAACAATGGAACAAATCTCGCTGCTGAAGACGTGTCACCTGAAAAAGCCACTGTCAAAGAAGAAACTCTACCTGTTATTGAGAAGGGAAACAGTGAAGCTGTTAATGAAGTTACTACCACTGATGTGACTGTTACCAATAATAGGACATTTCCTGATGGAGCAGATGAACCCCACGTGAAGCAGAAGCCAATGAGACGGCGGCCAGTATGGAAGAAGATATGTCCTGTAAAATTAAAAGATTTTGTTGTATTTTAATTGTGTGTTTGTAAATTCTGTACATTTAATCAAGTTATTGTTAATTATCTATTGGTTTAATGTAAGTGGCTATTGTTCGGGACAAACAATACTAAGGAAGGGGCAGTGTTATGATAGCGGAACTCACCTGATGCTGGGAGCATGCGCGCTGGAGTTTCTGGAAGGATCATGAATTTTCCTGGCAACTCTAGTTTGTTCAAGGCGCCCTCTTTTTTAGTATATTAGCCTGGCGAGAAAAAGCAGCACAACTGCATAGATAGAGAGATATGCAGATAGATTGAAGATAGAGATAATTGTGTCAAGCAAACAGGAGGCACTGTAAGTAAAGTGTGTGAATCACTGTGATTTATAGCGTGTGTTATAAAGGCTGTTAAGTGTATTACAAAGTTGTATCGAGAAAGAATAAACTAGTTTTAATTAAGAAAGGACTTGTATCGCTGAAATTCCTCGAAAAGAATTTATACCGGAAATTAAGGAAATTATCAAACGAGCAGATACATAACAATACTGTATATTGATTTATTGTAGTCAAGTTCAAGAAAAATACTGATTCAGTATGTCTTTTTTTAATTTGTTTATAAAGTGAGATTTAACCAGTTTTCTTCTCTATAAGTGTGTCTGTTCTTAGTGATATATATTTCATTAACACTCTATATGTGTTTTGTATTAGATGACATAGGAAGCCAGTTGTGTGAGAGGATAATTAGTGTGTTGTTTGAAATCTGGCTTTTGGCCTCCCATCGTTGTTTCCCATCACCACCACTGTGGAAAACATTTAGAGAGCTTTGCTGTAATTGGCGTCATCGTGTGTCTTTGATAGATCAGTGGAACCATACATGCCTTGCACTTACATCACGAGTTCTTCAATTTATGTATGGAACTGATTTCCCACAAGTGAAATTACGTAAGTTTGACACATTGTCGTTCCTGTATTTAAAGTAATTAAATGGTAGGACAACATACAACTCATTTAGTATGATGTTATATCATCAGTTTTAGTGATATGTCATTTTCTTTAAATTCATATGAGTAGTTATTTTCACAAAAAAGTTCCATTTGTATGAAATTAGGTTTTGTAATTTTTAAGCAACATTTTATGTTTTTGTGAAGATGCATAGAATGGGATTACAAATTAATCAAGAATCCTAGAACTCTGCACCATCTGTAAAACTTTTAACTTTAACTATTTCACTACCACATTTATAGGTAAACCAAGTTAAGACAAGTGACTAATTTAAAATAAACATCTTGGTTAATGATATCTTTGGGATTAATTTTTAAAGTGCAGCTCAGTAATAGTTTTTCTTAGTTAGTTTTCAAAAGTATCTGTAAAGTGAGGGTTTACATATTACCTCTTTAGATCTTTAGTAATGATAAAGTTTAAATAACGAGTACATTAATGCCTTCGTTAGTGTGATCTCCCTGATATTCTCAGCTTGTGTCTAAGTATTCCTCAACAGTTAAACCAGGGACAGGGGACCTGCAATGGAATGATTTCCAAGAGAGGGGAAGAATAAGATGAGTGATTGTGGGTTGTAAATAAAAGAGATTAGAGGGCAAGTTAAAACGAGCTTTAGATCTTAATTTAGATAAATATGTTTATTTACAAAGTAACAGATAATGATAATGCTTAACAAGTGACTGACTTGAACTGGAACAGATCCTTACAACCTTACACACATATTTAAAGGCAACTCATAATGGTAGAAGGGAAAGTTAGGTCAGAACTGTCTGTACCAGCAAACTTCTATGTTGCTAACTTTTATGTTCTTAAAGATGATTTTTTTATCTACACCTTTCATGATCTGGTAATATGTCTGAAACGATTAAAGTCTCAATTTTATTGAGCAATTCATAAAATCATTGTAAAACGTGTATGTAGTTTTCACCTCAAAAGGTGCAAATTGAACCACTCAAAGTCAGTATCCAAGTGAATGAATTTGTACCAATAAACAAGTAGTTTCTGTAAGTCAGTAAGTTTAAAACAGTAGTTTTATACATTCCATTCAATTCACACAATTTTATGCAATTATTTTACATTACTAGATAGTTATTGACAAGTGGCAAGACCTTTTTAGAAATTTTTTTGCTAACATTTTTACTGACTAATTGTAATATATTCACATGTACACAGTTGATACTTTTTATAAGAACAGTTATTAACTCTGTAAAATAAACATGATTTTCTTTAGAACTTTAGCCTGCAATAAATACACTGTCATTGTTAACATTGAATTCTGACTATATGCTTTACATTAAAAACATACTTTTATCTAGATGTTGCTGCAATATTATAGATAAGTTAATATCTCTAAAAAGTTTGCATGTAAAATATAATGAAAGGGGAAGGTACATGTAATTATGAATCAATTTCTTAAAATGATATATCAGGTTTGTAAAGGTGATATACTACATCTACAGGCTTTTACCTACACAAAAAAATTTACATTGCATTTTTTGTTAATTTTGATAATTAATTTTTTTCAAATGAATACAGCACTTCCACCTTACAGACAACTGAAAAAAAAGAAATTGAAAGTTAAAGTGTTATAAAAAAACTGTAGAGAGAAACAATGTCTGGTATAATAGACTTGGAAAATTCTAAACTAGTCATTACTGGCAACAGATCTGGTCTTATTCAGTATTGTTTATCTTATCTCTTTTTAATTCATGTTATTCCCTTTCATTTTTCTGTTTTTTATGTGACAATGTACATTTGACAGTTTTAAAACCAAACAGATAAAGGAAAACATTATTCATTGTTTCCCCATTGATTACCGATCACATCACTTCTTTGTTATTGATCCTTCAATGAACATTTCAAACTTAAGACTAATAACACTTTTGCATATTCCATGTGATTGTTATTTTTTGCTTTTTTAATTGTAACTGTTACAAACCCAAAAAAGGAAACAACATGGAAAAAGAATATTAATATTTTTTAAATGTTAACTCACAACAAAGAAAAATTCTGAAACAATACATAAACTCTTCTCACAGTGCTGCTCTCTATATGTGAACTTTTTTCCTGCCATTAGCCTTGAGGCTTCCATCTAATTTCACATGTTTCCATGTGATATTGTTGTGTTATTGCATGAAAATGAACATATGACAACCCTCCACAAATAGGAGTGTGACAATGCCTCCTAGCATGACTGACATCTTCTATAGTGATTGTTCAGTCATCACTTCTGGATTTAACTCTTGTATGATAAAACATGTCTTATTTGGTTTAAATATCTACAAAACCAACTGTTGTGGAATATTTTCAAACAATTCTGCTTCTTCAGATTTTGTGGCTTTTATTTTCCACAACATGAATTACACAGAGATGGTCATTTCTACGCTGTCTAGTGTTGAATATCTGAACTTTGATCACTCTTAACAGACTACCACAAAGGTATTGGGTACTTCTTTGTCTCTCAGGGGATGTGATAACTATTGTGTGGTAGGTGGTGGAGTCTTGCATGTGTCTTTTCAGTCATGAATGGTCTAATCTCTTCCTTTGTGCTTACTCTCTTATTTTTCTCCTCCCTCGTGCTCTTTCCCTAATTTAGGAAACTTCTTGTAGAATCCTTCTGGTGATGCCTCATTGGCCAACCCAATTGTGTTTTCCTCTGCCGAGCTTTCTGACTTCCTCCTCTCCTCTTCTGCTCTCCTACTATCTTTTTTCAGCCTCATACTTCTCTCTTCCATCCAGTCGTGTCAACACTTTAGGTTCATGTTTGGGTTTTGTCTGGTTCCTTGCTGGATAGTCAATACTGTCTTCACAAGAAGCCTTGTTCCTGTTCCATTCTGTTCCCCTATCCTCCTGAGAATTGTATCAGCGTAAGTGGAGTATTTATTGCAGCTGGTCTCATTTTCAATCCTTCTTACCTTCTCATCGTATATTTGTGTTCTTCACATGGCTTTCCAACCAGGGCTGGTCTGTCTTGACTATTGCTGGTTTCTGGGTGGCTCTTTCGACTACTTTGGTTTTCCCAGTATGTTGAGTTTTTATATTTATATTATGTTTATTTATATGTTATTATGTGTGTGTACAAATGAGAAAAACCATTGTTTTCCAGCTGTTATTTCTACTGCCTAGATATGAAACGTATTATAGCAATAACATACTCAAATCAGGTAGACTTACCCCTGAACTTCTGTAAGCCTTTCCTTGTTGAATTTGATCTCATGTTCTCAACAAAATATGTGCTTAAAATTTCTGAATGTCCTTTATGCATTGAAGGGCATGCATCACTCGCCAATAATTCTGCACTCTACTGTTTTTCATGTGACTTTTGCAAGCATCAGAGGATGTTATATCATAAGCTCTACTTTCCTGCCATAATTTAGATTTTTGTGTTGAAAGTCATGCTGTTAAATTTGCTGTGACATTCTTTCTGATGTAACTATTTCTACCACTGTTGGAATTTCTGTGATGTTGTTGGAGGATTTAATTTTGCAATTTGCATGTACGAGCAGAGTAAATTTGTAGCTGCATATCAGTCTTGACTACTCAGCTGGTATTCCTGGCAGGTATCATGTTCTCGTGGCTGCTTCATTGGCATAATATTCAACATTTTCTTTTGTTTTTATGAGTATATCTTTTGCTTGTATCTAGAGTCTTTTTGCCTTCAGAGTCTGCAGGGATAGATTTGACTTCTACAGTTTTAGCACTAATACTGATGACACTTTTTCTTGTTCATTTCTCTTTTTCACCTGAAAATGCTCGTGTGATATGAGGTTATTTCACTACTTGAATCTTTTATTTCTCCCACCTTCACATGATATTGGGATTGCAGGTGTTTTCAAAACTAGCTATGTATTGATATACTACATATTCCCATTTTACTCTTCTTTCTCATAATTTTTTGTATTCTGACCCATCATCAGTTTTCTGCCATACATGTAGTTATTTGTTTTGTTTTGAAACATTCCTTTTCTGTACCATTTCATGCTATTCTCTTTCTCCTGATTATTTTTAATCTGGATCACATATCTATTTTGATGTCTTTTTTTTTACTTAAAGAGGTCTCACTGATATTGCTTCTGTTACCACATGGGTCTTTATGACTCACTTACTGATTTTTCTGGATGAAGCCTCTATTCAAACTTTTGGCAGTCATCTAACATTTTTGTTCATCCATGGACTTTTGGCTTCATGTTCCTTTTGTTCATGAGATTCAGCTCCCCAGTGGCACAGCGCTATGTTTGCTAAAAAAATTGTAATGAAATACTTTTACATATTATCTAGAAACTGTTCAATAGCACTAGTGGCTTTTAAAGGTTGCTTTTACCATTAATATTAGCGAGCTTGAATTTTACATTCCAGGACATAAAAGAAACTTTCTGTGGATTTTTGAACTTGGAAGTTTTTCATCTTGCTATGTATGGATAGTATTACACAACAAGTTTTGTTTCATTGTATATATATCTATTTTAACATACAGTTTATTAAGTAGATCAATTTATTTCAGAATTATTTGTCATAAAGCAAAGTAAATATGCATTTGTTTACATGACACTGCTAATTAATTATTGTTAAAAATAAATAATGACATTAACTAAATGTTACTATATTAGTGAAAGTTTAATTTTTAATAACAGTTTTCGCTTAAGTTACTTGAACCATAAAATGTTACATTTTACATATTCATAGTTTGAAAAGCAAGATAAGTAATTGAAGAATGCTGATATTGCAAACATCACTTATGGTATATCAATATAAATGTGTTAAATGTCCAACTCACATATCTAGGAAGTATTAAACACCATCTAGGGGATTGTATAAAAGAATATGCACATAAATTCCAAACAAAAATTCAAGTATCTATAAATGTATGATAACATGTGATGTACCAGTAATAACTAAACAGTTTTCCATCTTTGCTAGACCTCAGGACAAATGGTCTCTATGAACATAGGTAGCCATACTAATAAAGTAGTATCAACAGAAGTTGAACTGCAAAATTTTCTCAATTACTTTGTATTTAAGTCTATTAAAAAACAACAACAGATAGCCATTGATTATTTTCAGTAAAATAATCTAGATTCTTTCTTTTAGATTTTTTAAATTCAGTTAGAGGTGGTAAAATAGTATGATAAAGGCTATTCTAAAATGTTGGAAGTGAATCGACATTGTATGTAGATAAAGTATTGTACATAATTGAAACTTTTCTAATCTCATTTGATTTGTGATCTTATTGACATATGTTGTTGCTTTTGAGTTAATTTATTAATTGTTTATTTTTTTTTATAGAGGAGGAAGACAGTCATCTTGTGCCAGTAGATATGAGTAATGAATGTGTTGCTCAAGCATGGTTTCGTTTCCTTCACACATTGGGTAACCCAGTAGACCTGTGTCGACCTGAAGTCATCAGTCAGACCACCAAGTTTTATCAGTTTGCTTTCACTAGTGAAGATGTAATTGATCCTTGTCAGCATCCATGTTTATCTCATTTACCGCAAGTTTTTCTGAAAGCTATGAAGGGAATTGCCACACTGGTTGATGCATTTTTAGGTACTAAACAAAAGGATCTATATGAGCCTTATATGTTGCTGTATTATTAATTGTCAGTCTGTATTGTAATTATGAATTTTATGTATTTTAAGTTTTAGATTTGAAGCTTGTGATCATATTGGAGTATTAATATTTTTATGAGAAAGAACAACCATTTACTTAATTAATCTAAGCTAATATTCTCTGTTGTCCTGTGTTTGGATTATCCCTTTATCAAGAATTTATGAATTTACATACAATCAACAATGGTTTATTCCTAAAATCTGCTTCAAAAAATGGATGTCATTTTCAAATTGAACAAAAGGGTGAGGAAATATGCTAAGTTATGAGCTAAGTTTCAAAATAATGTAAAACAACTTGCCAATCCTTCATGACAGAAGGTTGAATATTTACAAGTTTTCACGGGTCACCTGGTAAAGGCTGAATAGGGTGATTTTAAAAATATTTTTCATGTAATTAAATACCTGGAAATTTTTTAGTTTCTTGTGACATTTTTTTTATTGCTGATAGTAGAGTTTTGTTATTTCCTTGTGAAAGCTATAAAAAGATGTCTTAATTTAAAGTCAGATAATGATACTTATCACTCATGAGCATGGCAGTATTTAGTATGTTTGAGGTTAGTGGGGTTACATAATTGTTTTAGTGAGCAAATAACATACAAAAAAATCACAGATAAATATCTTAACACACTCGTTACAGACTTGGTCTAATTGGCTAAGTTTGTGGCCCCAAACTGACCTTTATAAGGGGTGTTGCAAAATAAATCACACTTTTTTCACCAAAGTAATGACGAACTTGGTAGGACTGCGAATATAATCACTAGAGAGAAAACGTCATTTCAATGTACTCTTGGGTGTATGACCCTTTGAATTTCATTTTTTGCAAAATATTTGAATCGTGGTGCTCACTAGAACTCAGGTTCTTGTTGCTGCCTTCGGG